TTTTTACCTTCTTCTTCTTCTACTTTTTTTCGACTTCTTTCCCCATGCGAGGACAGTCTTGTTTTTCACGGCCTTTTCAAGATAGTTTCGCGACCGGAGATCCATCCCAGCGTGCTAAAACTCTTAATGTGTCTTAGGTCGTACACAAAATCGGTTTAGAGGCGAGAATGTTTCATCGGGGAGCGGCTTTAGTTGCCCGGGGACCTTTTTAGCGGGCGACACGACTCTGTCGTACGGGGGCTTGTTCTAACAGCTCCCTGTCGAAAACTCATCAATTTGCAGCCTCCGTGCCAATTCTCTCAGTTATTCCCCCATTTGTGACACACGTTGACGCCAGCTTTTCTTACCCGTTCTGAGAATACTTAATTGTGAATTGCGCAAGTGTGCACGGACGTAAACCAACAATTCCGGTAATCTAGGCACAGCACTTGGTTTGTCCTCGTCGACAGGGCTTCATTATTGACTGTTCCAGATATAATCTCCTGCCTTGATCTGCCTGTTGACTCCGGCTATTTACTTTGACCTTTCTCGTTCCTGTAAGCCCTTCCTTGGAACCACTCTCCCTTCCCCCAAGAAATCCCTTAATGCTAGGAACACACACTCGTGCATACTGAATTCAGCACTATACTGTGTGACACTTTTCCGGGTCCAAAATTACACTTTTCCGGGTCAAAAATGACATTTCCGAGTCAAATATGACACTTTTGGATCATTTTGACCCGGAAACTTTGGTCAAAAAAAATGTTATTTCGGCCCGGAAAACTATTATTTTTTAACAGGATAAAAGGGGTTTAGGCCGAATAGAAATCGAATTCGGGTCAATCTGACCGAATGTAAGAATGATAAAATTATGAAACTCATCATACCATTCGTTGTTTAAAACAGTCAGTGTAATCCCATGTAAAGTCTTTCACAAAAAGAAAGATAACTTTCATTGGCAAATTTTTGGGAAAAATGATGAATAGGTATACATGTGCTTGGTTTTCGCATGACTATTTTTAGCAATCACCTTTGATTTTTTTTTTCTCTTCAATCCATCACTCTGTATGAGAAATCTTCTTTACTACCACTCTCCTCGATCTTCGAAATGGAAAAAGAAACAATTTAATGAGCTTATCAACTGAAAGTCTTGTCCAAGGCCTGCATGTTTTGCAAAAACCTGAGGATTTGGATTTATGTAACTTATACTATACCAAGCAGAATAGATTCCGCGCGTGTAGTGCCGCAATCGTAAGATGGAAAGGAATTACACACATCTTCAGGCACGGTTCTAGAGGGTTCTAGTAGGGTGTATCCAGATTTTTTTCAGGGGGGCGTGCTGAAATGTAGACCGATTACTTTTTCCGGACACTTAGGCCTCCGAAAATCATTAGGTGGGAAGGGGGGGGGACTCGTGCATTTTTTTCAATGGGGAGCGCAGATAAAATCCTACAATCGGCACACTATTTAGTGCATTATGTTATGGAATTTTTTTGGGGGGGGGCTAGACACAATTTTTTTTGGGGGGGGGGCTAAGCCCCAACAAGCCCCCCCCCCCCCCCCCCCCCCCCCCCCGTAGAGCCACCACTGCTTGACATCTTAGAATTCTACGACAGTTTACGGATTGTCCTTAGCTGGAACTTTTGAGCTCAATTTGGTGTGTGAAATTTAATCCGAATTTTGTGATGTCAAAGAAGATAAAGCACAAGGTTTATCTCTTCGTTGATCGATGATTAAAAAAATAAAAGATTATCCAGCAGATTTTTGAAAAATCGAGAAACGGAACAGACTTGTTTCTATTTTAGTAATCGAACCGCGGTTGTGATCTGTCTTTAGAATGATGACGTGCATTCCTCAACGTTAAAACTTAAGATGTTGCAATATTGCCTCCGGGAATGACTCCGTGCCTGTGTCAGCAGCGCGTAAGCACCTCCCCGCTGAAGGGGGCTTTAAGCGCCCAATCCCTGCATCAAAAGGCATTAAGAGCACGGCGGAATCTTTTGATTCGTGGCCCGGAGGCGCTCCGGTCGGATTTACCATTTTTAGCCCCCCTTCACGATCCGTCCTGATATACTGGCGGGATCGCGGAGTGTCGTTTTTATTATTGAAATTTAATGGAGAGTCGGAGTCTGGTCTCCAGGGAATAAGTCGGCTGGGAATTGGCGGTTTGGAATGGCTTATAGAGAAGATAATACAGACCCATCTAGCTGGGAAGATGTACACTTGAACTTATCCCTTCTGTTCTCACCTCTCGTGCACTTTTCCATACTCTGGGCCCTTGGGGGATCTTCGTCCTGCGTCTTTATACAATGAAGAGAACATCACTGCGCGAAGTAGATCGAGGGAAACCCGTCCAGAGGCTCCTTAAATGTCCAATTTCTGGTCTGGTCTATATAGAAGACATGAACTAGTGTAGTTCAATTACAGCAAGGAGGAGCTGCAGCTGCCAATAAACCCAATGATGAGATCTCTTGTGGTCATCATTACGGCGTAAACCAGAACACACTTCGACAGCCAGGTCACAAGGGAAGAGAACTACTCAGAGCATGGAGCTATATGCTCAGAGGGAACTAGAAGGTGCTGCTTACATTGTCAACACTGGGGTGTCCAAATTAACCAGACATTCTCAAATTTATCGGTTATTGGTGCTGAAAGACGAGAATTACGAAATACGAGCACCTCTTTGTTTATTTATTTCACAAAATACTTGCAGTGGACCATAATGACTTGGAAACACAACGCGCATATTTTACAAATCGACTCTTCCAAGTTTCTATACGAACATTTACAACCCAGATTCCCTTTATAGTTTGTTACACTATAAAGGCCTATACGACGGCAAAATTATAGGTGCCATCAGTTTTCTTTTTCATACCTCTTTAATTTATAAAACGATACCTCTTTAATTTATAAAATTAAAGTTGAACGAGAACCTTACTCGACCCATTCCACGATAGAGGATGGAGCTAGCTATGGCAACATGACATCACATTTCTCCCAATTGCTTCATCCTTAAAATGCAAATTAAATCAATCTAAACAGCCCTATGCATTCCAGACACTGGTTAGGGCATCCTCTTTTCCGGTCGTCCACGCTAGTAACAACAGTTTACACACCGCGTAAATCTAATTAGTTTGGCCTGTGGGAGAAAAATAGAACGGCTGTTATGTAGGTTAATTGGCATTCGAGAGCTCCGTGGGCCAAATTATCGTCGAGGAAGTCTGCTCATCAAGAGGCGGGTATATAGGATCGGCAGCCTCCAGCTGCGAGTGCCCTCCTTATTACTCGAATCACACTAGCACACAAACTCCTGAACCAAAACGAAGTCTGTAATCGACATTTAAATACCGGGATCTACCCGATGTTCCCCAATACATATGTTCCCCAATTACCTATGTTCCCCCAAATCCTTAGTGCTAGGGTTGGGGTTAGTATGGTTAGGGTTGGGGAACATTTGGGAACATAGGTACATAGGTACGCACCCTAAATACCCAGCCAAATCGATTCCCAAACTGTGATGGATCATGGAGCTATAAACAAAATTTCGGACTCATGAGGCGTCGGACTTATGAGGCATAAATTCCGCCTCATAGGTCCGACGCCTCATAAGGCCGACGCCTCACACGTCCGACAATGGACAAACGTTGTTTCGGACTTATACGGCGTCGGACCTATGATGCGGAATAAATAAGTCCGACTCCTCATAAGTCCGGAATCCTATGAGGCGTCGGACTTATGAGCGGACCCAATCCAATCATACTAAATGATAATGTTTTTGTGCAAAAAAGGAACCAGACATGAATCATCTTTTTGCATACATTAGCTCATTTGAAAGTTGATGACAGTGGACATAACCAACATGTCAACTGCCAGGAGAACATACTGGATTGAATGACCCACAAGATAACATCAGTGTGTTCAAATTGGGTTAAAATTCCTACTAGCGTATCATGCAATGGTTTCAGGTTTCAAGTCTCAGGTTTATTTCCATACTATAAGGTAAGTTGAATACTGTACATTAGGTAAATATATCAACGGAAATAATAGTATGGGGATGTCAGACGAGAAGCTGAAGCTTGCACTGGGTCTGCCCCCTTCACAAAGAATACATGTAGTTATACAATTCATGATTAACCAAAGGAGATATTCATAATAAATAATAGATGTTATTACATTAAATTCATTACCTCATAAAGTTACATGAAGTAAATTTTGACTTTCAATGTATTTTTAATAATTTTATTTGGCAATTAAAGTAATAATTTTGCTCTTAATCACCATTGACATTACGGTGAGAAGTCGATTTTTTATAAAACACATACTCTAATTGACGTCATTGGGCAGGAAGATCGAATTTTGTTCCAAAGGAGGGGTCTCTGGTGTCGTACAGGAGATGTGTAGGGATGTTCTAACTTATTAATATTATTAACTTTATTAAGCTTATTTGATGACCTAGTGTCGTAATTATGAATATCTTCTTCTTCTTTTGTACATGACTTTGATTTTTTGGGGGTCCGCTCATAAGTCCGACGCCTCATAGGTCCGACGCCTCATAAGTCCGACAAAATCGCATTCCCTAACCAATAAAGGCCCATAAGTCCGACGCCTCATAGGTCCGACACCTCATAAGTACGCCTATAGGTCCGACGCCTCATAGCTCCGACCTCGTAAGTCCGACAAATTAAACGCCTCGTTTTTCCGACGTCGGACCTATGAGGCGAAACAAATAAATTGTATGCCTCATAAGTCCGACGCCTCATAAGTCCGAAATTTCGGACTTATGAGGCGTCGGATCTATAATGAGGCGTCGAACCTGATTTTGTAAAAGTTTTTTTTTTCAAGTGATTTAAATCGTGATTTAAATCAAATAATTTCAATCAAACAACCCTGCCTTTAAATTTACAAATATCTAAGGAAAAACTTAAGATATTCCAAAAAAAAGAAAGGTCGGGAATTTTCGGGAAATCTCAGGGAAAGAAATATTCCAATCGAAAGGAAATTCAAAATTGAAGGTGGAAGCACTAACGAAGAGACACTTGAGGGCGCACTTCTTGAAAATGGCGACTTACGTCGCATTAGAAAAGCATATTTTGTGAATCGACTTGAGGGGTTATCCGACATTTACTGAGAAGAAAAGGACTTTTCATGTTACTACTTATACTTTCCAGAAGTAAACATGAGTGCCACAGAGTTGAAGGAGCAAGGTAACCGGTTCTACGGGGCCCACAAATACGAAGAGGCAATCACTTGCTACTCCAAAGCAATCGTACGTAATTATGTATGGGCGGTGCCCAGTTTTCGGACATTATACAAATACGGGCGATCGTGTAGTGTAGGGCCCCTGTTTTGTTAAAATTTATAAACATGTTTTTTATTGCTCAAATAATCACCTTTACAATCAAAAACAGACTTTCCTCAATTCTAATGACACCAGTTTTGCAATTTTTAACAGTTTCTTGGGGTAGAAATCACGATTTTCCCTCGCGGTTTGTGCCTTGCGATTCAGCGCGCTGTGCATGCTCGTGCAGTGATCGCTAGCCCTAGTCTATGGCCCGTACTCCTAGAACTATGAGGCTCCACATAGTGGAGCCTCATAGATCAAGAAGCCCGCAAAATTGCCTGCAGCACAAAACACTAATAAAGTACAAAAACGTCCATCAAAATGGAGACATTTCACACAGAACCGCTGCACAGTTTGCCCCTTTACTCCGTACTTTATCTCTTGACATACGTATCATGCGCAGAACTAACATAGGTGGATTCTGTCGGTTTTTAGGCCAAAATGATGAAAAATATGCCCTTTCCGCACTGAGCCAACCTGACACTAGAAAGGTGCACGCATATGATCGAGCGATGATTTTCGGTTCGCTCGGAGCGCGCCGCGGGGGGTACGGTACAAGCGAAATGATAGTATGTGCATGCGTACAAGTGCATGTACCGTACCCCCCGCGGCGCGCTCCGAGCGAACCGAAAATCATCGCTCGATCATATGCGTGCACGTTTCAAGTGTCAGGTTGGCTCAGTGCGGAAAGGGCATATTTTTCATCATTTTGGCCTAAAAACCGACAGAATCCACCTATGTTAGTTCTGCGCATGATACTTGAGTATGTCAAGAGATAAAGTACGGAGTATAGGGGCAAACTGTGTAGCGGTTCTGTGTGAAATGTCTCCATTTTGATGGACGTTTTTGTACTTTATTAGTGTTTTGTGCTGCAGGCAATTTTGCGGGCTTCTTGATCTATATGGCCCGCACTGAGTAGACTCTACATGCTGTGCTATATGCACATTGATTCCCAAAAGTGAGGATTTGAAAATAAAAAAACCAAAAATGTTGTTTCAATCATTCCAACTCAAACTCGGAAGGTGGGTTCACTTACCCGTACCTCTGAATATTGTCCCAAACTTAGGACATCCCTGTGCTTCCTTCTGGTGAAATTTGCCTCTTAGAAAAAATTAAACTAGGGCTAGGTGATCGCCATCTTTATTTTCGGGTTGCGCGTTGTCGCCGCGCTGTCGATGTCATCGGCATTTTTTACCCCCAAATTTCTCTCAATCAAAACCCTGGCCTCTATCTATGACATACCTGTTTATTGAGAATGTCGCCCAACTAGTTTGGTCGGTCTAATAATTTTAAAGTGGATTTGTTCCCTTATAGGAACGGGGCCCTACACTACACGATAGCCAAAATATGTATGTTTGTATGTTGCTGTATTTAGAAAGTTCAGGACATTGATAAATACTTCGGAATAAATGTCGCAAGCTGACGCCACTTTTTTTCTTCATATATCATCTCAATAAAGGTCAGTCATTGCAAAAATGTTGGATAAACATGAACCTGAGGGACTGAGAAACATTTCCAATTTTGTTAGGAAATACAAAATTTTCTTGACAATCCATAGACCTTGTACACAACCACTGAAATAGCGTCTGGATACTACATTCTTTCCCACACGGCCTATGTATTTACCTTTATTACACTCTCTTGTCGGGCTCTTTTTGAATTCTAACTATTTAAATAAACACCTAGATGCAAATTCATCAAAATCAACCGGGTTTAGGCACTGAGTGAAATCATTGACAATGTTATTGATCATAGCCTTGGCATTTATCAAATATCAGTGTTAAGATTTTTCCTCGGAAAGAATGTTGCATCCTGACACCACTTCAACGGTTGTGTACAAAGTCCATGGACTAGAGTCAGGAAAATTGGTAAAGTTTCTCAGTCATCAGTCCCACATTCATGTCTTGTCATCAATTTTGCAATGACTGACCTTTATTGAGATGATACATGTATGAAGAAAAAAGTGACGTCAGGTTGCAACATTCTTGCCTTTACCTCGAAGGATGTATTTTTAAGGTCAACCCCATGGTCAAGATATTTATTGTACCTACTGATTATTTCACAAAATTATTGTATTAAGATTTTGTTTCATGTTTCATGCATGATTTCAGTGCATTCAATTACTTCCCCCGCGCTTACTAGTGCAAGCACGACAGCGTTCGATTTACCTCTCACGAGCCTGGCCCAAGTGTCCGACTCGCCGAGTTGGTTACTTGGGTAAGTATCCCATAAGGTCATGCAACGTCCGGCGGATGCCTCAGGCCGTGTCCGAAACGGGCTTCCACGGAGCATAGAGCTACAAACCCTCTGTAGCTCTATGCACCATGTGCACGGAGCTACGATTACGAATTATTGTCAGCGCGTCCCCGCGTATTTTCACTGGGCGTGGACGTGCTCTAGACATAATTGATTCGGATGCAGCCTGGGAATTCGGAAAAATTTTGCAACCTGACGCCACTATACGATTGTGTACAAAGTCTACGGAGAGTCCAGCCATTTTTTTTCCTAACAAAATGGAAATATTTCTCAGTCCCAGATTCATGTCTTATCATCATTTTTGCAATGAATGACCTTCATTGAGATGACATATGAAGAAAAAAAAGTGGTTTCAGGTTGCAACATTCCCCCCCCCCCCCCCCCCCCCCCGGAAAAGCAAAAAAAAAGGAAGAAAAAAAAGAGAAAAAAAGAAGCGAGAAGTCATATTGGTGTAAATTTAATGGGTGGGTGGGGGGGGGGCAAAATGTCCCTACCCCCCTCTAAAACTGATAAGTCAGGAATAACTTGAGAAAAACAGGATTTTTTTGGAAAATATGTTTTGCCCCCCTATAGAAAAAAATCCTCGCGACGCCTATGTTTCCAGCTCTTGCACGAAACTTAACCCGAAACCGTTCGTTTATTTAGCTCCACTGCGCATGTCTGTCATTAAGCGAGGAGCCAGGCGCGAGTAAGCTGGGGGAAGTAATTGAACGCACTCTTTGCAAGTTGCAATAGGTGTAGGTGTTTGCAGGATTTATACGTCTGCTGACATAGATTTATTTGCACATAATATTTGCACACAAGATTACACCCACTGCGATGAGTATTCAATGCTCTGCACTGAAGTCATTTAGTTACAAATAAATAACCGGAAATAGACAAGGCAATGTAAGAAGCTCCCCATTGTCAGTGCCCACTGTATAGGGTATGTGTACATGTATACATAATGTAGGGTGGTGTACCTGTACATGCCAGATGATGAAAACAAGTGTTCATTTTCACAGACGTTTTTGTTCAATTGTGTTGTGTTACCCAAATTGATAGCAAGAATTGTGTTCAGTCACACAATATGAAAGGAAATTCTCTGAGTACTTGAACGTTTTAATGTCTCCACAAACAAATGCTTTTGTGCCCACAGTTAAAGAATTCCTCCGATGCCCGTTTCTTCACCAACCGATCACTATGCAAGATAAAGCTTCGGCGCTGGGAGGCAGCAGCCGGGGATTGCCGGTCAGCTCTAGAGCTGGAGCAAAATAACGTCAAGGCCCACTTTTTCTTGGGCCACGCCCTGATGGAGCAAGATTTGTATGATGAGGCTATTGCAAGTCTTTCAAAAGGTGAAGTACATACACACATTCTCATCAGACTATTTGTAAATTATTAAAAATGAAACTGTCTACATAGAGTTATCTGTAATGCGTCAGACACAATTTCCTGATCGAATGGCTTTGGATCAAGGGAATGGGAATTCCTCCCGATTGGCCAAAATCCAGATACCATTAATGACCTTCAAAAGTTTATGATGGAAAACTTTGTTTCTGATAAACAGCTCAGGATCTTGCCAAGGAGCTGAAGCTGAACTATGGCGATGACATTGCCTATACATTGAGGCAAGCCAAGAAACGGAGATGGTCCATGATGGAAGAGAAACGAATACAGCAAGAGATTCAACTGCAGTCATTCCTCAACAAACTCATCCTTGAAGACAGGGAAAGGCAAGTGGCCCTATGAAAAAAAAAAGGAATGTCCATTTATAACTGTGAGAGTGGAACTTTATTATGCACACATTATTTTTGTATGCATTTATTATGCATTTATTATGCATACATCATTAATACAGTGTATAGTGCCATTTATTATGCACACATTATTTGTGTATGCATTTATTATGCATTTATTATGCATACATCATTAATACAGTGTATAGTGCCTTTTGTGTCTATGTGTGTGATAGCATTTCATGGTGTGGTAGATCCAAACGAGTGTGGCTGGTGATGTCGTTGGCTGCCTAGATGTACCTAGTTAGGGTCCATGTCAGTATTTGTAGGTGGCTGACTTGCTGATTGCTTGCTTCCCTGTAGGTAGGCTCGCTGGCTGGCTTGCAGCCTGACTGGCTGGCTTGCTCCCCTGCTCCCGGATTATCTAACTGGCTGATTGGCTAGTTTGCTTGCTGGCTAGCTCCCCGATGACATGCTGGCTGGCTTAGTGGCCGGCATGCTGTCTGGCTAGCTAGCTGGTTGTTGACCGGCAGCCTGGTTTGCTTTGCTTGTTAGCTGCCAAGTTGGCATGCTAGCTAGCTAGCTGATTGACTAGTTGTCTGGCTTGCTTACCAACTGTCAAGTTGTGGGCCGGCTGGTTAGCTAGCTGGTTGAGTGGCTGGCTTTTTGGCTTCCCAGTTGACTTACTGACTGGCCTGCCATGTTGGTTGGTTGGCTGACTAATTGACTGGCGTGATGGATGGCTGGCTGGCAGGCTGGCTAGCCAGCTGGCTTGCTGGCTCTCTGGTTGGTTCACTGTCTAGCTTGTTGGATGACTTATTGGTTAGCCGGCTTCCTTCCCAGCTTACCGGTACTTGGCCGGCTATATTTAGCTGGTTGAAACCCATTTACAACCAATGCTTGCCAATGACACATATTTTTTGTGAACATTTCCACATAATTGTGGCACAAAAAAATTTAAAATCACATTAAAGAATGAAGCTGAGCATTGATGCGGGGTGAAAACCGATACTGAAATGCCCTCAACTAATAGTAATTGTGTACTTTCACCTCTTGAGAACATACATGTAGCTGTGCAGGGAAACACTAGACTATATTGTCTGTACAAAGACAGTTTCTTCCAATCTTCGTTTGGATCCTTTTATTCCAGAAAAAAGGCCGAGTTGAAATTGGACCAGGAAAAAGAGGATACAAAAGAAACGATTGAAGATAAGAAACAGGAAATTGATGTTGATTATGTAAGTATTGACTTGATTTGAAAGAGAAATTGCCTAATTGATGATATGATTAGTCGATGTACAATTGAATAAACAATTAAAAAAATATTCAATGAATTTAACAAGTAGCTGTAACAATGCTCAATGACTATTATTACTTCAGCGACCCTAAGATTAGTCAAACCTTAAAGCCAGATTGCTGTTGTTTGTTTCAAGAATTCTGTTTTGATCACCAGAATAGTATTTTTCAGAAAATAAAACCAGAGACATATTTACATAATGTACAAGAATGTCTTTCAACTCTGGTGATGTTACAAGTTTGAGCCTCTTTAGGATGCTCTTATCCAAGTGTCTTATACTAGGTGTGTATTTTTCAAATGTCAGGCGTGTGTTTTTCAAAGGCCCATGTACCAACACTTGTTACGGTCAGCGGGCATTTGCAGTGGCTGCACCTACACGAACACTCTGGAGCAGGCTCCCCTGGCATATCCAAGACTCACTGTCACTAACACATTCAAGACTCAGTTAAAAACATACTTTTTCACAATGTAGACAGCGCTTTGAAACGCCTGTAGGAAGCGCTACATACATGTACATGTAAATGTTATTATGTATTATTTCAGTCCAATTCAGTACAGTTCACAAGATGTTTGTAACACAATACAAGTCGTCAACATTTGTCTTGGGTTCCATAGGTTCAAGTCTAGCATCTTATCATGTAAATGTAATTTATTATGTATTATTCCAGTCGAATTCAGTTCACAAGATGTTTGTAACACAATACGAGTCGTCAACATTTGTGTAGGTTTCATAGGTTCAAGTCTAGCATCTGATTGTTTCTTAGAAACCACTCTTGAGCGACTGTTTGGAAAAAAAAAAACGGATTTGAGATTGTCCTTTGAGAGTATGTTTAAAGTTTATTAGGTTAGAAGGGAGGGGGACACACTCTATTCAGTGTGGTTGTTCCCTCCCCATGGACTTGAGGTTGTTTTTGTCAAACAAATATAATAAGTCATTGAGAGTAATGAATTCTTCATATCGGAGGAAGTCAGATGCTTGTGTGCTTCATTGACAAGCAACAGCCTCGGGTAATCACGGCTCTCCAGCAAGCAAGGTCGGGATCAGATATTCAGAGGGCAGGAGAGGCGTCCCACTGTCTGGCCTCATGAGTTACATACACAGTGTATGTAACGGCCCACCCCCATCTCAGTCTTGATGTCATGAATAAATTTTTAATGTACCAGTCATACCCCCCTCATCCAGAATCTGATTGTTAAACAGTGTACAAAAAGTATCTGATCCTCTCTCAGTCGCAAATGTGACAAATATGTAAGTTAATTTCCCACTACACCACCCCTCCCCCTCCCCCTCCCCCTCCCCCTCCCCCTCCAAGCTTAAAATGGAAATAATCCTTCATCCCTGTCAAGTCATATCAGTCATAAACTGAAGTAAAAAACATATCCCTGTACAGGTGATCCCCTGTTTCCTGAATCTCAATCTCCCTCTCCAATGATCTCAAACATACTGGTAAATGTCACAAATGAACAAGTTTTTGTGCTCCCATTACCAAATTTCAGTGTTATACAATGGAAACTTATTCCATCCAAATTACAAATGTATACAACAAGTGATTGTATCACACTCACAGTCGTACGCCTCTCCCTCCCCCTACCACAACCCCCCTGACCCCACCTCCCCACACATCCTCGATGTAGGACATTCCTCTCTACAAGTCTTTGCACCCGCAACGCTCCCTTGGTGTTAGGTTACACCTGGAGGCGATGAGCAAATAAGCATTCTATTTCTAGACAATGCATTATGCATGAATGCACGCCGATGCTGTTTTAGAATTTCGTCTCCGGGTTGGGCCAGGTGTCTTTGCCGAGGCTTCAGGGTGGAATATTTGACAGGGTTTTGCAAAGCAATCTAATATTTTTATCGTGCACCTGTTGCAGTTGAGGATAACTTCTGTTAACCCCAACCACCTCCCTCAAATAAATTACTTTGCTAATGTAAATGAGATTTTTGTGCTCAAATCATCAGTGTGAGGAGTGAAATTATGCAAAGGTTTTTCCATCAAGATTATATGTACATGTCTATATGTACTTGCAATAGTTTCTTACTTTAGGTTTTCCAGTTATATTAACACTTTATGTCACACAAATTCCCCAGAATGGTACTTTAAATGTTGTTTCAGAACATTGTCGATCTCCAATTCTCAATTTCAAATAGCAACCAACGGATTTCAATTTGAGGTGCAGTATAATTCAAATTTGTAGCATTCTAATTCATCCCTATTTTGGTAAAATTCATCTCATGTGGTGATTGGTTTTGTATTGGGGGGGGTCAATCATTTTTGCGCTTTGGCCATTTAAATCTAAACAGTGCACTTTTTGCATTTCGTAGCATATGAATGTCTTTAAATTTGTGGGTATTTCTGCATTTTCTTGTCACTTGTTTTTGAGACTCGATTGTACAAAAGATGGCTGTCAATGCTGGAATTCAGGGGGATGATGCAGTCAAATGCTGACAGAAACTGTATCACACATGTACATGCCTTCTTCGGAGAACAATTTGACTATCTGGCTGTTTCTGATACCCTTGGGATGAAGCGCCATAGTGCTTGCAGTATTATCCTATTACTCACCTTTGTGAGAACAGAAGAAATGTATTACCAAGAGGAGGGAGAACTTACATGATCAAGAAATGAAGGACTGCCTCTAGCACTTACTGGATGAAAGCCCCTTGTCAACCTCAGGCCAACTAAATGAAAGACGAGAGAAGCTCCCTGACAAGCTCCCTGACAAGCCACATTATTGCCCAAAGTACAGTTGCTTGGAGTCTAGATGGCATGCTCATCACACTCAAGCTTGCTCAGGACGTACATGTGTACCTCAAGCCTGCAATCCCGACATTGTGTTGAAATTGGAACTTTTAACAAATATGCAGTATTGTTCCAGGGAATTCGTGTGATATACATATAATGTTAAAATGACTGGGAAAACCTACATTAATGTACATGTAATGCCCCAAATTATTTCAGGACAGAAGAGAATGGTTTTGTTTGTTTCTGTTTTATTTCAGGACAGACATATGAAGGAGCTAAATGAGCTATTTGCTACGGTGGACGAAAGAAGAAGAGTAAGAAAATCTTCAAATTGCCTCTATGTAAAAATTTCATACAGCCTCAATCCTCCAAAATCATCCATAATTTCTTGAATATGGTCCATGGAGGGGTAACCACTGCCTGAATCCTGCAAAATCCTGTGGCAGTGACTGTCAATGTGTTGAGGCAGAGCCAGTGACATCCTGGAGCAGTGCCGAGGATTTCAAGTATAATCCAGGCCTAAATGAATGCATGGCTGAGCATTTAATAACACAAGTTCCGGCCTAAGACCTTGACACAGTGCATTCTCCAAAATGAGCCACACATTTTTTGCCATATAGCCTCAATCCTGCAAAATCCTCCATTTTGCAAAGAGGATTTTGGAAGGTTAGGGTTAATCAAACAAAGAAGACAGATTGTTTTTCATATGTTTCTCCCACTCAGTGCATTGCTAATCCATGCATCACTGAAGAGATGCATGTATCAAAAACAAAACAAGACAACCGAAAAAAGAAATGCAGGAGTCGTAACCTAGTTTACATTTTTAAGGAGAAATCTTGATGAATTAATCAAACTGAATTCCTTGGCATTGCTTTGAAGTTCAATTTACCCACGGACCATTTACTCAGTAAGAATATCTTCATTTCCACAAACAGTGTCTTGTGAAGCACCTGAAAACTTCTAATTCCAAGCCCCCGCAGCGACCCACTTTCAGTCCCATTCGCCTGACCCACTGATGAAATTCAAAGTCGGTTAGCCAAACCAAAATGTTCTCGGTATCTCTTTGATCTTGACAATCTGCGAAACCGTAATAAGAAGGAAATTGTTCCTTTCCTTGCGATGTTGTCACTGTCGGCTTCTTCCAAAGAGACTGTTTGTTTGCCAACAACAATCAGGGTGAAGCACTTGGTACACAAGTTCTCTATAAGATCACAAGGAATCACTGAGGAGTGTTTGTCGGCGATAAGGAAAGAAGCCTGCTCTTAAAAGTCAACGGAAAGTTAATGAGTAATTGGACTGGGATATCACCAGGGCGGCAAACGGGAAAAGCTAATCACCACATTGGAAGATAAATAAGCGATTAATAACATAGATTGTCACATTGATGTCTCCCTTTTCCCGTGTAGCTGGAGAAATTTGACCGTGATCTCACAAAGCGACTTGGTATCTGTGTTACGGCATTGAAAGTCCTCGACAAGCCAGTAATTACACAACCCCCAATTGAACGATTAATCATGACATTGGCACTAAATCAGGGCAGGTGTCGCTCTCTGTGGTGGTGGTTTTGAAGTGTTTTCTTTTCCTGTGTTATTTATTCCAATAACTTTGACTTGGAAAATTACATGTACCTGGATCTTGTCAACAGCACTGATGAGATTTTCTTGAGTATTTTGCTAAGAAAGGTACACAAAGTCTTGGTATCGAACAAAACCATCCAAAATTCACAAGTTTCTTTGAAATACTTTTGACGTACGTAAATGTTTTTCTTTGGTCATCAAAAAAGTTGAAGAAATTCAAGTCTTGTCTCTTGAAAATTCAGAAGTGCAAGTTACCTCAAATGAACAGGAAATCTTAAAGAGAGTGGTGAATTTAAACCTTAAAGGAAGCAAAGAATAGCTCATCTCTCTTTCATAAGACTTTCTGGTAAGCTGTTAATAGATAAATATCAATGCGCATACATCCAAGGTAAATTTACTGTAAATCTCTTCCATGCCTGAGCTATGAGCTAGATGAGTCCAAGTGTTTGTGCGGTTCATTTTTAAATATTCATGGTCTCTGACTTCGCTTGCGTAAAAACATTGGTGTTTTTACGCAAGGTTTCCGTGGTTATGTGAGGATTTCATAATCTCTTGATCAGAGAATAACTTATCATAAATGTTTACGATTAATTCACCAAATTTGAGATAAACTTGGTTCACACGCACATATTTGAGGAAGGTTCCTTTTTTTTTAACTCATCATCAGTGTTGTTGTGCTACTCACATATGCACCTCCGTATCACCACAAAATGCCAAGTTACCATAACCATCCCCAAAAGTAAAAAATGGTCATCCACTTAAAATGTTGACATACTCCATGAAAAATTCCTCTTCAGTAACAATGTTTAGGATTTGGAACAGAAATGCCAGGAGATTCTCCATTAGCTCTAACCTCCCCCCACATCAAAATGTCAAAAGCTTAAATACCACCTCAATTTAGGGGTCGTTTACAATTACATGTAAGGAGCCTGTACTTTGGTCCCATTAAATCTCAACTGGGCCCATCCCAGTTTCTTTAGATATTCTAAAATGCCGGGGAGCTCCAACTGATAAATTGACAGGACGTTTTGATAATTGTCACTGTCAGTACTTTTTGTGTGTCTGTCTTTTTATTTTATTTTTGTCGGCAACCAGAGCATCCGTCCAATTAATTCTACGTTTAGCATTCCCCTTGCGAAATGCCTCCCTAGACAAATATACTTACACTAATAGTTGGAGCATGCTCCGTCTCCACTGGGGAATTTGGTATGGGGGAAAAATCACAGCCTTGTATATCTAAATATGAAAAGTGTCATTCGTATCTTTGAAAGGCCAGGATGTTTTGTTGGAAGAAAAAAGCTTGTTTGGGATTTTAGCACCAGATTTATAAGCAGCAAGTTTTCAAAAAAAAGTTAGGAATTGGGATTTTTTTTTTGGTGATGTTATTGTATATCCTGTCAGCAGATTTAAAACAAAGTGCAAAAATATTCAATCGCATGAACTGGGTGCATATCATTTTAAGTAGTTGAAATGTGTCATTAATAATTTTGTGTATCCATTCTTTAGTTTTTCATAGTTTTCATTCTTTAGTTTTGTCTATAAATTTTTATGTTGGCAAAGTATTTTGATTTCAATTTTGCAATGATTGTTGGTTCATATTTTTTGTCTTGGCAGACGAGAGAGGTACCAGACTACCTATGTGGGAAGATCAGCTTTGAGATCATGAAAGATCCCGTCATTACACCCAGCGGCATCACATACGACAGGAAGGATATAGAGGAACATTTACAGGTACCTATTAAGCACACTTTCCTGGAGTGTTTTGTACTAGTTCCGACACTATTGATTCCAGCGTAGATTTTCCCGCAGATTTGCGCTATCATGTTTTCAAGCAGTTTCAAATTACCTGAGGGCCTTTGAGCAATTTCAGTTGAACCTGGTTTGCACTTTCTTGTCATGATGGCTTTAAGCTGCTCACAGCATATGTAGGCCATGGCAAATGTTCTGTCACCTGCGCCAGCCAAAAACATCTTCTTTTTTTAGGGAAGAAGCAGATGGTTGAACCCCCCCCCTACAAACCCTCGTTCCCTTTTTGAAAAAAATTATGGCTGACCCAGATTTCTTGAGACTGTCAAAGAAAGGGTGCCGTTTGATATATCTGAGCTGTCAGCGGTGCAGTAGGCTATGATGCCGCTCAGAGAGGAAAACATTTTGTAGACGTAAAGTAGAAAGACCAAAAGGAGGCAGGCAGAAATGTGGTCCGAGTGATGCTTGACAAGCATCTGACGGTAAAGGAGACTGTCGTTGCACTGTGGATGCACTGGACTTGCTTGCACAACCAAATGACACATAATTATGGAACCACAGGAAACCGCATACATCAAATAGGGAACTTCCCCGGTAAGCAGCAGTTCCAAAGTGTTAATGGATGACCAGTACGTGTGAACCATTGACACGTAATTGCTTGTCTCTTGCCTTTGCTGTTAGGCTACACAACCAAACTTTTGCATAGGTAGCCCCATTTATTAAAGGACATCATCTGTCATTCTTTGGCTAATTTTGCTCAGGCAGTGAATTTGTCAACCTACTTCTAGGTGTTTGTAGGGCATGACAATTATACGCTCAAAAAATACCAAACACATGTAGTTCCCTCAGTCACAAGGAAGATCAGTCTTAATGAGAAAACGTCTGGGCAAGAATTTGAATGAGTTGAATCAGCAGTGGCAATTTACGCCTTGAGTGCATACGGTGATGCAAGATGTGCAGACAGGTGGTACAGTTCTCAGATGCAAACTAATTGATTAACTTGCAGAATATATGCAACAATACCAGCAAAGGCGTATCACCCCTTATTTAGCATGCGGGCCCAGTCACATGCTCATGAATAATTCATGAATTATTCATGAGAAATGACAGTTAAGCAGGTGTGTATTCTGCATGCGTATGTGCCGTCCGCCGTGCCGTGTTTGGAATTTTTACTTCCCAGTTCATTGACCTGGAGATTAGGAATACTGCAAAGTGGTGCTTTTCTCACGAAAGTACAGTAGGCATGGTAGGCCTACAGACCCTTTGAAACATGACGTCACTGCCTTACAAGTGCAAACTGACATCAGCTATTAAAACAAGAACAATTCGTCGTGTGCCCCGGCAGAAGGGCATACATGTATGTGCATATGCCCTTATGCAATAGCGCGTAATGACCAAAATGTTCCCAGCAAAAGGGCATATGCAGAAAACTGCCTCCAATTGAATGAAATTTAAACATTTTTATCAGAAATTAATACAAGTTGATCCAAAACTTATGATTCATACGTGCGACAAATTTCAAATTCGTACGATTTATAGTTCGTGTAGGAGAACATTGGATACATAATGCGCGCGAGGGAACAATGGAACCTTTCAATGCCATTTTTTTGAAAATGATTTTTGCATCAGAACACTCATATGCCCTTCTGCCGGGCACCCGACGAATTAAACTAGCTTGATACAAATACTCTGTGTTGGTTTGTACCTGATATCTATTTTAGCTGCGAGTAGCAGCTCAGCAAATCATCATGTCTCTCCGTTAGCGAGCAAATGTAAATCGATGAGAGTCTCTCGTAAACGCAATCCTGGTGAACCTACCTATGAGATGGATGGAGTGGGTCTTGAAGCAACTAAGGAATTCACGTATCTGGGCATAAAAATCCAAAATGATTTGGGAGGGGAAAATCAGACGCAGCATGCTGTTACCAAGGCAACGAGAGTCCTCAACTTCATCAAACTCGAAATTTCTACATGAGCTCTAAAAACATAAAGGAAAGGTTATATTTCACCCCACTCTTAGAATATGGTGTAGCAGCATGGAACCCTTATAAAATCAGTCATCAGTCTGCGATAGAGAAAATTCAGTGCAGAGCTGCATGCTTCATTCATGGAGATTACGCCAGACAGAGTAGTGTCTCCTACATGTTTTCGTCTCTTGGATGGGAGAAGTTAACTGACAGAAGGGAAACCCACCAGATGACTCAACTCTACAAGATAATCACTCACACAGTTGACATCGATGCTTCAGACTATCTTCAATCGAAAATGCAGAGATCCAGGAGAGGGAACAACTACCAATTCAACATAGTGAAAACATCCTCAACTGCATTCAAGAACGCGTTTTTTCCAAGGACAATTAAATTATGGAATGACCTGCCCCAACACCTCACTGACTCTTTGACGCACGAGACCTTTAGGGAAAACTATTATAACCATATCGTGACCGAGACATAGATGCCGAAACCTCCCCGTGACCTCCTAGTCAAGATCCCTAGAGGATGTTTCAGGAGGAAACTAACCAAGTACCAAGTAGTACCAAGTACCAAGTTTAGTCAGTTACATGTAGTTAGTTAGTTAGTAACAAACGTTGACATTGTCTATTGCTCCTACATATTTTGACCGATTTCAACCAAACTTTGTCAAAAGTATCAGTAGCCCAGCCCCAACATGTCACATGACCAAACTGGGGTCAATGGTCATCATGGGGTAACTGGGGTCAAAAAAACCTGATTTTTTTTACTCAAAACACTACTCCTTCCAGAAAGTACATGGCACAATCACGTGACTCATGCTTGAACACGAATTCGTTGGCCTGCAGCTTCCGAGATCCAGTCGAGCTTGTTCTATCTATATTCATAACTTGGAGACTGTTGTAATGTTATATTTGTATGCATAGAAACATTCATCTGTAATCACAACCAAACCTCTTGGCATTTTTCTTTTCTGGATTTTTTTTCTAACTTTGCCCAATTTCAAGAGATATCTATTCTGTTTCCCCCCCCCCCCCCACCTCCTAAAAAAAAGTCAGATTATATGCAATTTTTTTCCAACAAGGGCTGTTCTCTGGGCTGTTGAAAGTATTTTCAACCCTCCCTCTGTATTCACATGTGTCAACATAAATAAAAAATGATTGAGTGGCTCATTAGTCTGTTTTCCAGTCCACTCAAGATTAATGTGCCCATGCAGAGTTGCATGGCCCCAGAAAAATGTTGTCTTAAATTGAATTAAGCCGTGGAATTGGGTGTATCTTGATGGAAATTTTTGTCTGCCTGATGACTTCAGGCTGGCATGATGGAAATAAGGCATCGTGGTTAGATGCAATTCTTTAATTTTTACGTTGTTATGACAAGATCCCTATTTTAACTGATCTGGGCTCAAAAGCCTTTAACTTCAGCTCATCTGGCTAGCATTAAACTCCTAGAACCACTTATTTCTTCCTTAAAGCCAGAGTCCATCATTTGCAGCTATCCAAAAAGTAACTGGCGTAATTATTTTTGAAAAACATACTTGGGTGAAAGATAGTAAGGGGACTAAACTCCCTGTGAAATTATTCTTTCTGTAAAGCTGTCATTTTGAAGAAATCAACAAAAGAAGGCCTTTCCAACGGTGCTTCTTAAGAAGCACCGTAGGAAATTCAAATTAGTAGTTTGCTTTTTTTATTCAGCGAAGCGCGCGCAAGCATTGGCATGACGCACACGCGCCGCGGTTGCTATAATTCATTGGATCAGTGCATGACATTGCCTAGCTGCAATCGGCTCAGTGAGAACATGTCTCAGACGCTGAATTTAGGCCCAATTCAAAACATGATTCAGCAAACTTTTGATTTGAAATCGAGATCCTAGAATGTTGTTTTTCTCAAAATATACAGCTAAAGCTGAGCTGAAACTTCATCAGGTTAGTTGTTCAGCACCCTTCTTTAGACCTTGAGAACTTTTGTTGCTTCAAACAAACAAAATGCACAGATTATAAATGATGGACTATACCTTTAATGAAGTGAAAGCTCAGAAACTGTTCCACGGTGCCTTTTGGTATCCATAAAATGTAGACTCAGGCTTGTAATTTATGTTTAATGAAGTAACTAACGGACATTATTGGGAAGTGTCTTGCTTCATAGTATGATTGATATGCACAAATATCTAGCCAGGACTGGTTTGCACTGGTTCCATCATACCGGTACATACATTCACAATTCTAAAACAGTCATTGCAGCTGGATGCAATTTTATTGCTGCGCTTACATTTGTATATTGTAAACAGATAATTCTGCGCTCATAGTTGACGTTAAAAAAAAACTGAAGGAATTTGTTTAGCTTGAAAAGGTTAGTACATCGGCCATCGCAAGTGCAGAATTCTGTTTTTAACAGATTCATAAAATTGGGCCCCGCGCATGAATTCCCTCAACTTGGATTCAGGCTCTTGATCTGAATTCATACACTGACCGAAATGCCGCTGAATACTTGAATATTATTTGGCCGCGATTGCCTATATTTAGCTCCATATCTGATCTAATACATTATGTATTAGCTTTTACCATTCGCTTGACCTGAAAACCTAGATCATATCTTGCAAAATCCATGCTAATATCTTGCCTTTATTAATATTTTTTGTTCTTTTCACCTGCTTGGCTCAGATGTTTAAAAGGAAGTTACCTATATTTTGCAGGCCCTCTACATGATAGAACCCTTAAAGATCTAGATCATGAAAATTTACCATACCTAATCAATTCTTCATATACTTTTACATACCGAGATTCCTGTTGCTTAGAATTTCATGGCGTGCACAAAGTGTTTTTCAGACCTGAAAAGTGTGCATTTTTTAAAAGATTTCCTTGATAACAAGACAAAAGCATCCCCTACTCCCTTAAAGTAGTCTTTGTGGTCAATATGTTTATAGAAAAAAAGTACTTTGAAATTTAAAGAGCCTCAACAATAGTTTGTTTTTAGGTCGTGTAGCTTCAGAGAATCTTGGCTTAGGCCAAAAAAAAAAAGTCTCCGGTTTCTGGTATGCGCGCGCGTCGCCGTAGCCATTCGCGTCGGCAAAATGAAAAAAAAAATTTTCAATGAAAGATGATGTCTCAAAACCTCCAAACTCACTGGTTTGACTGGAATCCTGCTGCTGCACAATTTTAACGTGTTTTTAGATGGGGTTATGATCGAGAATAAGCTTTATGTGGCCTCTCTGGACTCCCATATATTTGCACTAAGTTTAGTCGGGCACCATTTGCAGTCATCAGCCGACATTTGAAGCAAAAAAGTCAGGTAAAAAAAAAAAGCCACGTCGCCGCACCACTTTGGGGGCAAGCTCCATACCAGAAAACGGAGACTTTTTTTTTGGCCTTAATTCACTTTTGAAGTATTAAGATCAGCCGGTTTGAATATTCAGAATATACCAAACTCAATCAAGACCTAATTCAATACCCCAAACTCTCTACTATCTACTCTCACTATGCATTCCCTCAGGTCTGTTTAAAGTTTAAAAAATAATAATATATTTCTGGACGCCACCCCAAAATGATCTAAAATCAAAGCCTGCTATAATACAGTACTAGATCATTGAGAAAGTTAAGTCTGATTAATAGGCCAATTATCAGTGTTGTAGTCGAGTACTTTTTTCCGAGTACTGTGTACTGCCGAGTACGCCGAGTACTTAGGTTGCCGAGTACGAGTACCGAGTACGAGTACTTTTCTACAACACTGCCAATTATTAATTTCAATCTCTTGAAATAACAAAATTGTCTGTTTTGTCTCAATAATGAGAATTTCAATGAAATGTTCTTTGGTTTTCTTTATTTTTTTAATCAAATGTTTTTGTTTTTCCTGCTTGTCTAATGTCTACTACAGTTTCACACATTGTCTTGCAGAAAACTTCTTCCAGGACAGACATTTCAATCCTGGATTGGCATTTCAGTTGAAACATCAAGCCTTCAAACTTATATCCTTTTTTTCCCCAATAATTTCAGCGGGTTGGCCACTTTGACCCAGTGACCCGGATCAAACTCACCCAAGAACAGCTCATCCCAAATCTGGCCATGAAGGAAGTCATAGGTGCATTCACCCATGACAATGAATGGGTGGAGGAATACTGAAACTGAACATTAGATCATTATTGGAGCAGGCTCGGGCGACTACAGACCAGATTGCAATAGAAATCTTGGAGCTTAGCATCAAGTATCTGAGACAGAACTGGGATTGCAGGAAGGCAGGTTTATACTTTGCAAAGCAAGTTTAACGTATTTATTGTGATTCAGGGCTTTTTTTTGCTTTCTGCATTAATGGGGCTTTTGTCTCCCACAAAAATTGTGATGCGATCAAGCTAAATGAGTCGTTTGTCTGGAACTTTCATTTGGAGATTCAGGCCAAAATAGGGCCACTTCATCACATCACTTCATCACATCTCTTGGTGTTCCGACTTCCATTATTTTTTAACTAAATATGGTATCAGCATGCGGTTTTCACAGCAGGAAAGCTGAAGTTGTGCTCTTTTCAAATCTGTGAGAAAAAAAAAATTACCAGGGTTGACAAATGACTCAATTAGATTGATCGCATCACAAATGTCTCCCTGCACATATCAGTTTGTTTGCTACATGGAAGACTAATTCTATACCCATTGTTTCACAAGAAACAAATTACCCACAGAGAGCAAAAAGAAATGATTGTTTCATCTACATGTAATTTAAAGTTATAACTGTGGGTATATGTGTTCTACGTGTATTCAAAGGTAGTATACAACATCTGCAAACATCAAAAAACAAAATTACCGACTTATAATGGAATACCTTACTTGACTGTAATTATCTGTTTCTATTCGGCCATGTACAAACACCATATTCTGGTTGTCGCATACATTGGTCGGGTCTTGTGCAAGTCCCAAATTAGGTTATGGGATGGGCTTTTGCGGTGAGATTTCTTATGTTGATGTGTTATAAGATGGAATTTTGCGTCGGGGGGGATATAAATCAAATTAGGTTTTGCCCTTCACCGACGTTTTTAAACACTGTATACTCCCGAGTGAAAGCTGGAAAAAATCACTCGGGTGGAACTCGAACCCACGACCTCCTGCTTTCTAGTGCAGATGTCTTACCACAGATGTCTTATCAGATTTGAACCGGCCACCCGATCCCGTTAGCTCGGTGGTCGAGTGGTAAGACATCTGCAATACCGGGTAGAAAGCAGGAGGTCATGGGTTCAAGTCCCACCCATGTGATTTTTTCCAGCTTTCACTCGGGAGGTAACACAGTGAGTATACAGTGTTTAAAAACGTCGGTGAAGGGCAAAACCTAATTTGATTCATGTTGATGTGTGATATGGAAGTTCCCCATGATTACTATGTGCAGAAAAAAAATTAAAAGACTCCAGATCACTCCTTTGGATAAAAAAGTTCACGACGAATCACAAAGACAAAGAACAGCACATCAGAATGGCCGATGACAAGGTACACGACTGTGCTTAAAAAATGATCTAGAAGAACGGTTAAAAATGCAAAATACACAGTACATCGAATGCTAATTGAGGTAGTTAAGAATCCATTTCAGAACCCAGAAAACTAAGATGGCAAATAAAAATGCCAAAATATAGGATCTGAATTTGCGACTTGCACACAGATGACCCTTGACATACACTGTCTCAAGCATCATATGAAATCATGGCACCTGGTGTGCTGTCATTTTTAAGAAAAGTGGAATTTCCAACGATGGTTGTGATACTAAGTCCGAATTTCAGCCCAGGAAATTAATTCTGGTTTAAATAAGAGCATTTTGAACCTACACTTTCAAACTTGAAACTTTAGTAGAAATGACTCCACATTGATACAAATTCCAGTATGTCTGAATTCATGTGTTCAAGCTTTCTTCTGATAAACACCAAACCTTCTACAAAGGCAGAAAAATTGGCAAGAACATGCCTACTGTATCATTAGTTATTAATGATATTGAATACTTACCGGTACACAAGTGTTATTTAGAAATTCAAAACTAAAAGCAATGTAGAGTACTCCATGTTTGCTTTGCAAAGATACATTGTAGGAAACAATCTAAACTGGCCTTTGCAAGAAAAAAAGGTACCCATTTAGATTTACAATGTATTTATTTATTTATGTTTTTGTTCTGGGAAGGAGGATGTGTTCTTAAACTTTGGGTTTTTTGTGTAGAAAGGATCACAATGTCAATTTTTGTTGCCAACATGTTGTCAACAGAGGGCGCTCTTGATCTTTAGTGGCACTGTGGTTGCACAGGTGGGTAGATTTTAGTTATTGTAAGACTACATTGCAGATTAAACACAAGGGGGGGGGGAATCGGGTGGCATATCACTCCCATCTTACCTATCAATGAAAATACACAAAATTTGTAATAAGATTAGAAAATCTTGAGAAACCATGAAGGTCCCCCCCCCCCACCACCCAAAAAAGTCTAACAAGTTTAAAGTCGATGGCCGAATTTCATGGCGCTGCTTTACAGTTGGGTTAGCAAAAAAGTTGTGGCATGGATGTGCTAATGGTTGCACGTGCATATATTTTCTATTCTTACGTCACTAATTTAAGCAACTGTTTCCTCTTCAAAAGCTTATTCTTGCTGTGTTTACTGCTAAAGGTCTCCATGAAATAAACTGTTGCAATGCCACAAAATTAGGAACAGAGTGTAATGTTTGTTACATTTGCAACTGATATATATAAGGCTAAAAAAAATAGTCGGTCTCTGGTCAGAGTGCACGTCGATTTTAATCATGTGCGTCAATCTTCTTTTTTTTCGAATTTTCTGCGGAAGCTACAACAGCAATCTCTGTTGCCGCCCCACCTCAAATGTTTGTATCAAAGAGAACCAAGGAATGGGGAAATTGCACAAAGGCAACTGATAGAGGGCTTCAAGGCAAATTAGAGAGGACACAAACAAGCAAAATAGTACCCAGCTTGTCTGTACAATCCAAGCTTGAAAAAAAAATGTCGCAGCATCAATTACTGAACTTTGGTCTGACCAGAGACCAACTTTTGGGGGGGGGGGCCTAAGTCCTGTATTCTTCTAATGTTTATTTGAGCATTGGATATGTTAAAATGATGTGCGAGTTGGTTTCTTCTTTTTTTCTGTTATTGTCATGCATTTTTGTCCGCACCATAATGTATTATAAAAAGGATTAAAAAGGTGTGGCATGTTCATTTCATTTTTTATTCGTACTATTGTTTTTAATCATTAATGGTTTATTGGAACCAAAACAATAATTCCATTCAAGGCTTGTCCCAATTCTCGAAAGTGTGAAGTCCCTGGGCCTCGATTTCCTTTTTAGACATATGTCAAAGTTTCTTCAGTATGTAAATAAAGAAACCAGCATTTTCTTTGAAAGCAAAATGAGTAACAAACTATCCATGCATTGTGTCCAACAGTGCAGGGAGGAAAAGGCAACTGTAAGTTTAATTTATACCACTGCTTTGGTTTTGCTTCAGTCGTTTTGAAGGGAAACTTTGTTGTAAATGATTGTATAAATGTGCCAACTGTCAGAGAAATAAAAGCTAATATAACAGAAACTTGTATCGATTCCCATAAAATTGTTCTTTCTTTTTTATATTAATATATTTCCGATGTATCACAATTCATAAATGTCATCAGGATGTTGCAAATAGGCTTGGGCTTTAACATTTTATAGGAATTATATTTGCCATGACATAATAGTGTCCTGGAGCCACTGAATAACCGGGAAGGGTTTTGGGAGAACAAGATGGTTACAGGTAGCTGGAGTTACCTCAGCCCTAAATTGTATCATCAATGATAAAATTTAGGGCTGAGGTAACTCCAGCTAGGTTACAATGGTGGTAGTCTGGTAGAACTAGAAAGTAGAAGTGGCATGTGGATATTACTTCTACATTCTTTCCTTTTTAATACTCTTAGCGTTACCATGTACTTGTACACATTAAATACACCGTTGTCTGGAATCGAGCGTGAATGAAAGCATATCTTTGCCAACGGCAACATTTAGTGAGCAGGTGAGGAATTTCAGACACAATCACAAACTTTCAATAGAAGTACTAACTTTGAAAGGGTTAACTTTTAGTTTCTTGATTACCAAAGTAGCTATAGTGAACTTAAAAACAAAAATATGTGTATTTTGGGGATATAAAATTTAATCCAAGCCAATTTAATTTGATCATTTGTGGAAAACAAGAATTATACAAATAACATGAGAATTCTCCGACTGTCAATACCACAAATATGGTTTAAAAAGTAACAAAGTTATCTTCAATTGCTCTTGAAAGTGTACCACAATATTTACTATGAAAAGGATTGAATGAAAAATATATCAAAAGCTATCATTTTGGGAAGATGTTTGGAAGTGGACACAACCTCATACTTTTTGCCCTGTTAAAATACAATACCGCCCTCTGTTGATTTGCAGAAGTTAATATTGCTTGTGGTCATAAACCCAGGCTACCGTAGATGGATTCACACGTGAAAAGTTTCTCCGACTAAAGTAAGCCGTAAGTAAGCAGCTGCTGCGGTACCGACTGCGTGTGCGTGCTGTCAACCGGCACGAATCGGTAAAAATGTTGTATTTTATTTATTTCCTGTGCGTTTAATTTTTTTAATTTGTAATTTTACTGTTGGGGGCTTATTCCAAGTGGTCATGGTGGTCGGTGAACAAAATTAACAAAGCTCATCCACAGGAAAACAACCTCAGCGCACCTGCCTCAACTGCTTAAAAACTTTGAAGTTGTGCGCGCTTTCTTCATGTTCTTCATTCATGTTCCTTTGATTTGCGCAATCTTAAGAATGCGCAAGCGCATTCTTATCATTGTGCAACTGGATCTTTGTGCAATCTTCAAGGGAACTGACACAACTCTAGAATACAGGGCCACTCCACTCTACACATCCATGACATCCGCACCTCCGTATGACTGCCTCCTCTGAGAATTGCGCCCTCTACCGGCGCGTGACTCCACGACTCCAAGGCTCCGCGCCTCCACGGCTTCGCGCCTCCCCTGTAGTCCTAGGATCATTCATATGGATATCCTACCGCTGAGAATTGCGCCCTCTACCAGCGCGCGCCTCCAAGGCTCCGCAGCTCCGAGCCTCCATTAATATGGATATGGATGCTTCGTTCTCAAAAAAATATAGTCCTAGGATCATTCATATGGATATCCCACCGCCGAGAATTGCGCCCTCTACCGGCGCGCGACTCCACGCCTCCACGGCTCCGCGGCTCCGAGCCTCCAGACAGTGCCCCGTCACAAGCGCGCCCTATCTTCCTTGAGAAAACAAGTGCATTCACTGTACTTGGCACTTTTTGCGCGTCTGCATATTATTGTACTTTATGCCCACTGACCCCAGTCTCGATCCAAGGCTCCAAGTAGCTGGAGTTACCCAGCCCTGAGTTTTATCATTGGGTTTTCTATTAGGGCTGGAGCGAATTTTTCTCGTAACTTGTAGTATAGGCAAAGTTTTTTGGAAAATGTTCAATTTTGTCCCCGTTACACACTAATTGCAACTGCAACTCACCCCAAACTTGCCTGGAATAACCATTACACAGGTCCTTGAAGTAAAAAACGATCCACGATGAAGATTCAGCCTACAATTGCAGTGAAAACAGGAGGAATAACCGCTAACTTGACAACCTTGCTGGATTGGCCAGGACCGCAATTGGTTTGTGCACAAAAAAATTGTGTACAATGAATGGCGGTCGATTAACAGGCACAGAGAGCGATCGCTGTCAACTACTCGGTTTTGCCGGCTGCGCTGGCTGTTGGCGCATGACGTCACGCGGAAGCGTAACACCCGATGACTGTTTCATGCACTATTGGTTGCGGTTCCAGTACCAAAGCTGTGATGCGAGTGGTAAACCTTATATTAGTAACTAAGTTAACTAATTGAGCTACCAAAGCACTCGGGTTGGTCGGACAGTTATAACTATTACAGATTCACAATGGTGTTTTTTGCAATGCCATGACGATAGCAGATGAAAATCACGTTATGGCTGCTGTGCTACTAAAAAAAAAACTACTACCACTACCAGTACAAGACTAAAACATAAACACGGTTTTAAAACGTTTTAATACATAATGATTAATGTTTTTCACTGATGACCAATGTCAATGACTAGTTTTATGAACACAAACAACAGTGCACACCAGTTTTCATCGGTTGTTATGTGTTACCATTCAGCACTCCATACTCAAGAACCATTGAATTTCAAGAACATAGGTCTGGGAGCTGGATAAGCCAATGTAAAAACAAATCTGGATGTCCGCGCCCACCTATAATCATACTCTACTTAAAATTTGACATGTGTTATACTAGACCCATGCTTACATTTCAGATTCAACATCACGGCATCAAGTTCAGAACTTCTGCTTTGGATTTCCAAGTGACCGAGCCCAAACTGCCAGTCATCATGTTTGTCTTGGCTGAGATGACAGATACTGTTCGCATTGAACCTTGGCTGTTTAACGTCAAACTCAACAATGCTATCACCGAAGAACTAAACAAGAAGCTTGCAAACAAAGTAAGTAAGAGACTATTGAAGTGTGAAATTATAAAACTTGGCTTTGGTTGCACCTCGGCAACTACTGACCTCAAAACTCCTAAATTGCTCAGTGAGTGGCTAGACTTTGTCACCAGGTTGCTATTTGCGGTTGCCCGACCCAAGCAGCTTGTTAATGTTACAACCTTTACAGTGAAATGAGATATAAACTGTGCTCAGGTAAGGAGAACTAGAACAATCAGTAGTTGAGTGCCACATGCTCAATGGCCATGTCAATATCAACTTAGAATGATGGTACACAATTCACTGAATAGGGGCCTACATCTCTTTTATTCAGACAGAAATGGTAAATAAACTGTTAGAATTAGAAAGTGGTAAATAGTTTCATTCTTTGTATCAGACACACAACTTCATTCTTGTCGATTACTTATTTCCCCCCTTTTTTGTTATAGGTGGTACATAATGTAGGCCTGTGCATTGCCCTTCATGATATTGTCAAGCTGGAAGATTCTCACATCTTCCCAGGTGATGGAGCCTCACATACTAAGGTGAGACTCAAGAACAAGAAGTCCAAGACTCCAAGTGCCAGTGGCAGAACCCAAGACTGTAGTCACAAAATACCTCAAATTTGACTTGACCTAACCTTGACTATGGACAACATGCAAGATAAATAGATGGCACCAGTGTAGCGACCTCACAGAAGCATGTGTACAGTATACAACACAGTGGTACCTGCACAAGGCTCTTGTTACTAGCCTATATCCTAATAAAGTCTTACCAAGAATATTCACGACAGAACTACTCAATTCTCCGAAACAAACTTAGTAATGAAGAAAAGCATTTCAATAAGGGATACTCTCTAAAGCGTATTGATAACTTGTTTTTTGGCATAGGTGCATTTCCGCTACGTAGTGTTCCGCCCCTTCATGGACGAGATTTTCGTGGGAAGAATACGCAGCTGTAGTCGAGAAGGTGTACATGGTAAGTAGCCAGGCTGCAAAATACTTTTGTTCAAGTTTTCAGATGTCGGGCGGAAATTGTCATTGTATTCAAGCAAGAAAAGTCATGTCTGTGTATGGATTCTGTTTAAAAACACGAGACAGTACTGTGTTGCCCACTGTGCTGGACACATTGTGTGTACACATAGTGCATATTTATGTATTAGTACCAATGAGCTAATACGGTTAAAGCTCTCGGCTTTAAGTACACACAATCAAAACGTTCAAAACTAAGTCTCAAGTTCTACCATACAAATCAGTTTGCATCACATTGCGAACCTGTAAACTAAGGCCAAAAAAAAAAAAAACGCCAGTCTCTGGTCAGACCAAAGTTCTGGAATGGATGCTGTTTTTTTTTTCCAAGTTTAGATTGTACAGACAAGGTGGGTACCATTTTGCTTCTGTCCTCATATGCCTTGGTGTCCTCCATCATTTGCCTCAGTGTCCTCCATCATTTGCCTTTGTGCCCTTCCCCATTCCTTGGTGCTCCTTGGTGCGATAATTTGAGGCGGTGCGTCAATAGAGGACGCTGTTGTAGCTACCGCGGAAAATTTGAAGGAAAAAAATATTGAAGCGCATGATCAAAATCAACGCGCACGCTGACCAGAGACCAACTATTTATTTTTTTTTGGCCTAACACTAATCCAAAGTACGAATCATCCGAAACCAATATCAAGAAGAATTGTGAAATATTTTCTCCATTTCTGTTTGCAGTATCACTCGGGTTCTTTGATGACGTCCTGATCCCTCCTGAAGCCCTCCAGCAACCCTCCAAATTGTATCCTTTGAAGATCCATCATGACACAAATTTTGATGTTGTCAGGTAAAACTGACAACTCAACTCATCATCCTTACTATAATTCCAGGAATCTCTGTGTGTCTGTCTGTCTGTCCGTCGATTATCTCCAGAACCAGGCACCGTATGAAGTTGAAAATCGGCGGGTGTATTGCTCGGGAGACCAGAATGTGCAGTGTCAAGTTTGAAGTTGTTTGGATGAGCGGTTCTCGAAAAAGCTGCAAAAAAGCAGTATTTTCTGAGGCAAACGTGCCAGTATTATAGCCTAGACCACCGCACGCTGCCGTCTTTTTCAATTGTTCACGTCATGTTCGAGCTAAAGCACGCGCGCTCAATATGAGGCAACAATGGAAAAAGGATGGGCACACGCATTGTAGGGCTATACCATTGTGCAGTATGGGTGAATAGCACTGCACACCATGTCTCCGTACGTACATGTGCGTGAGTGGCATGCACGGGCACATGCATTTTGTAGCCAACTGAGCAACTCTTACTGTAGGGCGATACCATATTGTCCAGTAGGGTTAATATCAGTGCCAGGGGATGACAACATGTGTGCGTTTAACCTGAGAGTGTGCGTTCAACCTGTGGAAGCACCATTGAATAATGTATGTTGTTTGCACGAGCTGCAGTTCTCAACTGCCCCTTCCGAACAGGTACGTTTTCGACTGACCCTGCACTAGTTAACCGTAATTCCGTCAGGAATCCTTCTTCGATCCTCCACAAATTACCACTATGCATCAAGCGAGGGCTCATTCTGTACACCTTGACATTCAAGGGGTCGTCAAGTTCTTTGGACGTTATGCAGGCTGGACTGTACTACCCCCTTGCATAATTCTCTTTCCTGAATCTATCCTTTGTGAAACAAATGGCACATTCCTTCTAATTATCTAAAAAAAAAACATCTAGTCGAAGTTGGCGTGGTACCGTTTGGCTGTAACTTTTTCTGCTAAATCCTTCAAAACCTGTTTATTTTGAAGGTTTTGTCCTCTGTGCACGAAATGAATGTTGTATGCTTTTACACTTTTAGTTTAAAGAAGTATCAAGTCCAAAGTAAAGTAGCAGTTTGGCTGAAACCTCCTTCTGCAAAATATCTCCAAGTCCTGCAAATTTTTCAAGATCTTGTGGAGATTTCGATAAGAAGTAAACCTGCTATGCAACTGATCCCTTGAAAATTTCAGTAAAAGTCAGAAGACATTGCAGAAGATCAACATGGAAGATGGATTAAGTCAGAGCAACTTCTTTTACGCAAACTTGACCACATACTCAAGTCCCTCGTATTTACTGAAACCTCATCACCTGGAATGTTAAAATTCCTTAACTCCAAGATGTTTCAGTGACGAGACAGAGCAAGTCTGGGTCTGGGAGTACGAGACCGAAGAAGGAACCCATGATCTCTTCATGGACACCAGTGAGGAGATTCGGTTCCGTGTCGTGGACGAGAGCTTCGTGGACACCACGCCAGTCGGACCGTCTGACGTCAGCGAGCCAGGATCTGAGATCATTGAGGATAATGCAAAGAGCAAAAAATCGCCGTACAGTCTCACAGTATGTACATGTTATATTCTGTAATATAATATCAAATACGTATTGATACAACACGTACCTTGGGTTTCAGTTGCAAGCTTTACGCTTTTTACTTCATTGTCAGATTCGGGGAAAGTTGTTCAGAATCCTTCAGCTAATAAGCAATACCATGTACAGCTGTGAATTTTCGAATAATTCAATATTTAATTATTCCCAATTGGACTTATTGAATATTCGATTTCGAAATGCACTGATCAAGTTAAACATGTGCAAGCTTAAATTAGCCACCGAACCGATCAGGTATTGCTTGTCGTCATAAAATTGACAAAGAGCTGAAAAATAATATAAAGAGCAGGTAGCAGAATGGCTGATGTTTGACCAAATTTTTAAAAAAATACTCCTCATGGAAGCTCTCAACTCGTATGTTAAGTGGCATTCAACAGACTTGGCATTTGACAAGCAATAAAGCCACACAACTTATTCACTTAAAATAACAAAGTAGATGTTCTTCATCATCTCCTTGAGATCGCTCACATTTTTCGAATCTTTGAATTGAAAAACTGATATTTGGTTGGTGATCAAATATTCAAATCATCCCTAATACAATGCGACAATAGCAGACAAACTCATCCTGGATATTCATTGAGATGGCTTGTAACATACACTGGTCAGATGGAAGGGGGAGGCCGGTTAGCCCTCCTGCAAGCAAAAAACATCTATGTACTTGGTACTTGGTTGGTTCTTCACCTAAGGACTTCCACAAGGGAGTATAACTAGGAGGCCAGAAACACCAGGGCAAACCCCTTCTCTTAGCGATAAGTGTTACTGGGTTCTTTTACGTGCATTAGGCCTTATACAACACACGGGACCTCCGGCTTAACATCCCATCCGAAGGACGAGGCAATAATGGTTAAGTGCCTTGCTTAAGGGCACAAGTGTCCGGGTCCGGGCTCGAACCCACGCCACTGTTGCCTCTGAAACACCAGAGCATGAGTCCGGTGCTCTTAACCGCTAGGCCATGACACTCCACTATGTGGCAGTCTGTTTGTCTTCGCTCAATATCCATGTGTCTGTCTGCAAACAACATAAATGTTACCAGTTACAATTTGTATTTAATTGTTTGTCCTTTTTTTCCTTCCTCCTAAAGGGTTCAATCAGTGAGCCTGGCTTAGGCCTGCTAACCTGGTGGTCCAGTTAGCAGCAGGAGAAATCCAGAATCTCCAAAAGTAATGGGAGAGCCTAGAGATGCTGCAAGCAGAGCTGGAGGCCAGACTCTAAATGATGAGAGTAACAACTCTGGAGGTAAACTCCAATTTGGACAATGGACTGCTCCGGATTTGGCCATAAGCCCGCCTACCTTAGGTCCATGTACAATTCTCGCAGTGCCGATGACTGAGTTTGGCTGAGCTACTGTGGACACCTGACTAAAGATCATGACCTAATTGATTGATAGGCACGAAGAGTCCATAGACAACAGCAACAACTCTGAAGGTAAACTCCATCTTGGACTGTTCCGGATTTGGCCATAAGCCTACCCACCGTTGGTCTGTATACAATTCTCGCAGTGCTTTTGACTGAGTTTGGCTGAGCTACTGTGGACACCTGACCAAAGATCATGACCTAATTGATTGATAGGCACAAAGGGTCCATAGACAACAGTAACAACTCTAGCGGTCAACTCCATCTTGGACTGTTCCAAATAGGAGGCCATAAGTCTGTCCACCTTTGGTCTGTGTACAATTCTCCCATTGCTTATGACCGAGTCCCGCTGAGCTACCTTGGACACCTGACCAAAGATCATGACCTAATTGATTGATAGGCACGAAGGTTCCATAGACAACAGCGACAACTCTGGAGGTAAACTCCATCTTGGACTGTTCCGAATTTGGCCATAAGCCTACCCACCGTTGGTCTGTGTACAATTCTTGCAGTGCTTATGACTGAGTTTGGCTGAGCTACTGTGGACACCAGACCAAAAGTCGTGACCTAATTGATTGATAGGCACGAAGGGTCCATAGACAACAGCAACAACTCTGGACGTAAACTCCAACTTGTAGGGTAATTTTCCAAAGACCATCAGACCATTACGCCATCCAGGTCTTGTATGGGAGTTAATTGGTTTGCAAAGGGTGGATGTAACAGTCCCCCACCCCCTTGCCATTTCCAATACTGGTGATTTTCTAGTATTGAAAAATTCATTAGCTACTGAAATATAAGAAATGTCAGTCTCGGCGTGTTAATTAAACAACAGCTGACATCTTTGCATAGTGAGCCAATGTATCGGCCGAAAAGGGTGCCCACTAGAAGCAAGGCAAATTTATGGGTGGATGCTAGGGTCGATGCCATTTCCAATACTGGTGATTTTCCAGGGTTTAAAAATTTGTTAACTACTGAACAACGAGAAGGGTTAATCTTTGTGTTACTAGCAACAGCTTATCTCTTTGCAAACAAGCAAATATATCGGCCAGAATCAGTACCCACTAGAGACGAGGCAATATCATCTTGACACCAATCACGAATTGTTTATATTTCCATCTGATTAAAACAATATTGCAGTCAAAGAGTTACAACTAAACGTTTACCAAAAAATACAACGATGAAGGAATGTGATGTTTTTTTATCACTGTCCTCATACACATGTATTAGCATTTTGAAAGCTAAGAATGACGGAGGTGAACAGTGCATTGCAACTTTAAATGCTTACAGGTTTTCAGCCAAAACTCCCAAAAAGTTACAAAAGTAACAGAAAAATATTTTATTTACAGAAATGAATAGTTGAACTTGTGTTTGATAATTTCCGAGCAGTGTGATCACATGTATTCATCTATTGAAATAAAAGCTGATACATGAATCATTGAAGTTCTTTTCGGAATTTGAGTATGTTAAAGTGGTATAGCGCCCTCTAGATGAATAAAACAGCACTTAAAGATGCAGAGTTTCCCGAATCCAGGAAGAAATTGTAGCCATTCATATGACGGAGACTCTAGCACCATTAGGACAGCAGATTAAAACACAAACCAGCTCAGAATTTGATTGATTGAAAACAATTAGATAATTGTTTTCTATAGATAATTTTGTTATTTACATACTCCCCCATAATAAACCTTGTCAGTCCAGCTTAAATGATAGTTTCATCCAGAATTAAATTCATTGAAAAAATGTCCAAAATATTCAGATTTCCCTGTATTATTTTGGCGTAAGGCAAACGACTAAATCACAGCAAGCTTCGAGTCAATGAAGACAATGGACATAGCTTTTATTCAACTCACATATAGCACAGCTTGTGGTTCAAGCTTAAACATTAATTTATTTGGAAATTATAACAAGAGATTTTCGTTGATTTAGTGAAGTCAAGTTAGACAAAAAAACACAAGGCTATGATTTGCTAAAAACATGACTTGTTTTATTCACTCACACATAACACAGTTTGTGGGTCCAGCTTAGACATGAATTTTATTTAGAAATTACAACCACAACGGAACGATTTTCTATGTTATATTTTGACTCAAGGCAGACAACAAAAAACACTGGGGTTAGATTTTTTAATATTGAAAACAGGACTTGATAAATTTTATTCACTCACACATACTACAGCTTGTAAGTCGAGCTTAAACATGAAATTCATTGAGAAATTACAACAGTAAGAATGTCTGTTTCTTAGTTTGGCGCGAGGCAGAAAACAAACCAAACACTAGGCTTTGATTTATTTAAACAGGACGTGAAATTTGTTTTATTTACTCACACATAAACCTGAATTTATTGAAAATTACAACAGTAACATTTTGTGTTTAAGTTTGATGAAAGACAAAACAAAAATAGCACATCAGACTTTCATTTGTCAAAAACAGGACATAATTGTTTATTTACTCACAAAAAAAGCTTGTAGGTCCAGCTGAATCTTGAATTTATTGAGAAATTACAACCACGTGGCGTTAGTAAGAATTTATGTGTTTTAGTTTAGTGCAAGGCCGACCAAAAAACAGCGCACACAACACACGGCAGGCATTTATTCAATAAAAAAAACAGGACGTTGTAAATTTACTTAGAAGTAACATAACTTGTGGGTCCAGCTTAAACATGCAAACCACATGAAAATCACTTTTCGACGTTTAAATTTGGCGCAAGGTAGACATCTAGTGATACAATTTATGTTTCCAAGCGTATTGGTAAGTAATGATCCAGGTGATTTCGCTCAATGAAATGGATTGTAAAATGTATTTCTTTGTAACACAGCAGTTTGTTTAGTAACACAGTTTTGTTTGTTAACGTATTTCTTTTCACTTTTTGTGTTACAAAGATAATAAAATTACTCACAGATGAGTCAATGGTATTCTGCTTATTCTTTCATATTTGTTTGTTTGCCTTTTAAGCAGCATTGATGTCTCGAATTCGAACAGTCATGCATAACACCAACATGCATTATGCATAAACTTTTGAATACCTGCATAACAAAAAAAAGAAACCAAAAAGAAGCTGAGTAATAGGAAAAACAGTTTCCATGGAGTTTATGTATTAAGCATGCATAATTACCAAAGTGAGGCTAACAGGTACATACAGGCAGTGTCCAGGATTTGTAATTAGAGCTTTGACATTGTGACCTACAGGGAACCAGACTATAGCTGTGCTCTTTGTGCTCTTTTTAATAAAAGTTTGGGATGCATGAGTGGTTCAACAGTTGTATACATTCATTGTTAAAGACAATGGAACGAACCATTAGCACCCGCCCATTGCACACCTCTGCAATGCCTTATTGCATGTTCCAGATGCTCGCGTCATATACCAGTACACGCATGCCCGACACAAATGTCGACTGTGATTGGTCAAAACATATTGGGGCGGGGCTTAGTGGGTCGGTCCTTTCGGTATTCTTCATTGGAAGCACAATGCTGTGTATTAGCTGTACAGGAACTAAACTTTGAAACTCATCCATCCTGCAATATTTACGAAATGAATATCTTGCTTCCAGCTCCTTCCTGACAGTAAGTGTCAGTCATGACATAATCCATTACAATCATTCCAGCGCCTGTGGTTTAATTTTAAAAGAAAGTAAATCTCTTGAAATCGACTGGTGAAATAATTTCATGTGAACTATGATGTAACCACGCACACGCATACAGCCAGCTCTGTGGATATTAGGGCACGTTAAGTACATTTCCGCATTTTATAAATTTCTCAAAACGAAGGTTGTAAAACTGCTGAAGCAACAGATGTTTGAAATATTTGTCCAATTGGATTTTTTCCGGATTTATTTGTTAATTACCTGAATGGGCCAGAACCTTCTTTTGTTCTTTTCTCCTTTTTAAAAAGCATTACATTTTGTTTATTTACAACACACATTAGAGTTGAATAATTGGCTTTCTATTTATACCAAGCATTAACTTCAAGAGGTATGCTGCTAACAAGTTTCTTAACAACCCTGGATCAGGTTTAAGTTTTTGGTAACCAACGTCAGCTTCTTTTTTTTCTTCTTCTTCTTCTTCTTCTTCTTTTTTGGTTACCCTGGGGCGAATTTTGAGTACCCTGGAACGCTACCCTGGACCGTGTTCGCTTTTCTGCTACCCTGGATCAGCATGTTTTTTTTCCGACTACCCTGTAGTTTTCCCATTAGGTGTAGCTGTATTGGCTACACTGGATAAGCGTTTATAACGTAGGCCTTGCAGTAACACTGATACACGGTCTTTGCTTATGAATATTCATAACATTTTGCGCACGTTTTACTGCAGTATCCATGACAATACAATAATTTATCACATTTAATTTATCACAAGTCTTTTACATTTTTCAATTCTTATAAATAATTTTTCATCACCGATTATTTTCTATGTACAATGAAATTTTATATGTCAATTAAATACATTAATGCCAACAGGCCTTTACAATTCATGCCGTGTGGCATTTCAATGAGTGCGTAAAATAATGAATATGCATAGGCAGACGATTTATGAGTGTATGGATTGTAGGCTTATGTAGCACTTGATGTAAATAAAAGGCATGTGTACATTGTCTGCCTCGTTGGTTGGTTTTCGGTCCCATTTATGAAGCTGAAATTAATTTTTCATGAAGGAAAGAAGGAAAGGATATCGTTTCAGCACCCATATTAGATTACCAGTTACATGCATTTTAATTAACGTGTCACAATAAACGAACAAACATTACCACGACAAAAAAAACTTGGAAAACTATTACATTTCCGCTGAAATTTTCGGTGTTCAAAGAATTCAAAAAAGTATCGCGCTCTTTTCACCAAAAGTATAGTACAATGATGAATTGCTTGAAGTTCATTTCCATGTTCTTTATGTATGCGAGAAGTGGTGAGAATACCTTGTTGTGTTTGATTGCTGTGTCATTAGTAATGTTGAGATGTGGGTTGCTTTTTTCAATAAAAAGGTTATGTTTCATATAAATTACAACTTGTATGTGCCATCATTTAAAAAAAAAAACAAGAAAGACATTTTTAAAAAAATTAACAAAACTCTGTGCCATCAAAAGTAAAATAAATTACGTATACCAAACCCTTTTTCAAAAGTAACTGACGTTAAAACAAATTTACATACTGTTCACACGGAACTGCCTTTGCACATAAAAACCCACTCTAACAATCCTTTTATGGACCTCTCCTTTAAATAAATAAAATATTCCAATCTTTATAAATCATAACCTTTCTGAATAACATATTTCTCAATTTTAGCAGACAACATTTCCCCATACAAATTTTCAATTAAATCTAGTCATTACTATGTACATAGCTGACAACAACAAATATTTGTCATTTCCTCAACAAAATACCTGCAAACTTACATTAGATAATACGTATTATGATAAACAATCTATCAATTAAGTCCAGCTCTGTCCAATTATTTCCAGAGACAAATTCTACAACACAGCTGTAAAGCTAGTAATAAGGACCAGCCTTTTCAATATTTAATGTAATTCATAACAAGGCCTTTTGCACATAATTCGTTTAAAATAATATCCGCATACGTGAATAAGTTTCCAACAAAGCTTTTTTTCATCACCTAAACAACCAAGTGTTAATCGGACGAACACGGTCATCTAATGTGTTAGGCTACTTTGATTTTTCTAGTGATCCTGCCATATTTTTTTCCCCGCAAGCCTTTACTAGATTACTGGATAATTTCGATTCTACGCCAAAATCATGTCGTTAAAATTTCCACTCTTGGCACAAACCAATTGATCTAAACACAGTCTACAGCATGGTGCAGTAAGCTACCGATTGCAGTGTGTATCAAGCTGAGAATTGCGAATCGACTGAATTGAATTTGGTCCAACTTTCAATAAAACATCCATTTGCTTTTATCACATTCCTTTTTACATCACATTTTCATTGCAGTTTGTTTTGTACACTATTCTGTCCTGTTCTTGCGAAATATTTAACAAAGGTCACTTAAGCGTGATCACTTATTATTTACAATAAATGCGATCTTTCTCGTGTCTACATCCTTAAATTTAAACCAATCGACAGCAAGACAACCATCTTAAATTAGAGCCTCTTAATTAAGTACATCAGGTGCTCATCAATAAATCAGAAATAAATCGATATTTATCGTCTTGACACCCAGGTGAAATCTAACGACATCTAACTCTACCGATCGTAAAACTTTAGTCACGGAGGGAACAGCTTTACACAACACCAAGCACATAATTATTAGATATTGATGGCCTCGAGAAACAAACTTGTCTTTCTCTAATAGTGATGTATATATTTAGAACTCGGCATACGTCTTCGGATAACTGAATTCCTTTGGTGTCCTGTTGCTCATCTCTAGTCTAGCTCCTCTGTATTCTAGCTCACTTGCTCCCTGTATTCTAGCTCCCTTCATAATACATAATTGTTTTAAAACCTTAGAAGCAAAGAAGTACAGAGGTTTAAGACAAGAGGTTTGGACAGGCAGCTTACCGCGTTGTTTCGAACTAGTAGAAGTCGGAAAACACCGTGATTGGAACAGAAACTAAAATGTGTAATATCAATTTGAAAAGTCGATCTTACATGTACACATTCTTAAGTTTGAATGTCTACGACTAGCTTGTTGGCTTGATCCAATTTGATCTTAAAAGTTAAAACTTCACAGACAGACATAGGCCTAAAGGGTCACTATAAGAGCCAATATTTAACACCGTCTCACACGCTATAAGTATACCACATAAAGTGTGAATCTCAACCCAGTGCAGCTGCTCTTTAGCTGAAACATAATACCTCCACATCTCAAATAAAAATTGCTTAAAAATTATTACACCTATGCCAGACGCCATTTTGTATACTGCCCACGTGTACTTCTTCGTCAACAGTTTTTTTCCCGCCCGTTACAAATAGCACACATAACAAGTTCAGTCTGGTAATGTAAACTAAGGCCTATTTACACAAGTACCCCGCCACGCCCATGCACTTTCCCTTTCCACCACTCCCTGCAACCCATATCAGAACACAGCAGGGCATTTAGATCTGTTTGGTTTAAAATACTCTAGAGCAAAACTGACGGTCGTGGGTAAGATTGTCACACTCGCCAATCAATTCTTCAAGTGTCTATGGCCACACTTCTATTTTCGGTCCCCGCCTACCACTCCCTGTTGCCCGGCCAACAAATATCAATGGACCAGCACACTTAAAGAGATTTGGGTTGAAATACTGTATAGAAGCTCCATTTAGGATCTGGGCAGTTGGGCAAGCTACGCCTACCCTTCCTCTCTGTCTCCGCCCTCAAGTTTCATCAGCCCATTAATGAATAACAGTATACGCTTGGAGAAATTGAAGCTGAAATTCGAAATGCTGTAGAAGCTCAGGCGATGAGTCGGGACAATTCGTAAGCAACGCCCACCCTCTGTCCCCGCCCATCACTCTTTTGGCCCCACCCACATTATTGGACAATAGTACACTTGGAGAGATTGGGGCTGAACTACTGTAGTAGCTCAGGGATGGAGCCAAGACAGTTGAGTTAGCCACGCCCAACCACTGTCTCCGCCCACAAATCCCATAAGCCACACCCATAATCAGTGGACGATAGTACACTTGGAGAGATTGAGGCTGAAATACTGTAGAAGCTCAGGTGAGGAGCCAGGACAATTGGTCAGCTCCAGTTCCTCCAGATTCTTGAGTTGTGCGAGGCCAGAGAGTCCCGCGGCAGTCAGCAAAGGACAGCCTGTAAGAAAATTGTAGAGGATTGGGTGAGAGTTGGAAACAAGGCCGAGTAACGTTGTGTTATTACCAGATCGGGAGCCGCGCCAACGAGGTAACTTAGTAAAATATATTTTGGACAGATTTTAACGTTCTGAGTTATGAAGGTCTTGACTGATTTTTTGGTGTTCATGAGTTGCAGCGGATGCACGGTGTCGATAGCGATATGAGAAGTTTATTAGGTAACAGGGGATGACGTACCCCATGTGCCCCACCCCAGGCCCAAGATAACATGCGGCTGCATCAGGGTGCACGCCTGTAAATAGGCCAAAAATCCGTCCGCCGAGCTCATGAATAAAAGTTATACCCTCAAAATATTCGATATTACAGAGTTTTGAGAGCCATAAAATTAGGGAATTGAAGAGATATAGTAATGAACCTCTGGCCCGGACTTGGGGCTTCCTATTCTGAGCATTTTGGATGCTATTGGGCTCCAAAGTGGCGCTATTTTGCCATGTTGTGGAGGGATCGTTTTTCAAGATGGCTACTCTTTCGCTTTGGGGAAAATAGGGGTCGTCTTCTTTAGGTGAGAATATCTCGAAAAGTCAATGGTCAACCCACCAGAAATGAAAAGAAAATGAAAGATGACACATTGATCATCATTTTTTTGTGCAGCTTGAATACCCGTGAGAGTTCTGAGTATTTTTAAAAGAATTTTGAAGTATGCGCATTTAGCACTAGTGTCTATGGGAATTTTTTTGCAGGGTTGCACCCATCAGGAATAGTTATTGGTCTTGCGCCGGACCCACCAATAGCTGTGATCACCTCACCTGCAACGGACAGGATGGCCAGACTCTTCATATTATACAGATGCTGCAGGCCGAAATCCTGCACTTGGCAACACCATCGTAGATAGAGCGCCCTCATACAGTTCATTGTAGACAGGAAGCCGATACCGGTGTCGGTTATCCGAACGCATCTGGATAAAAATAAAATTACAAAAATACTTGATGGTAATAAACAAAGATTGACATAAAATATGGTTTAAATTTGAGGCCCTGCCCCTATTACAAAAGTACAATTAATTATTCCTTTCGGAATAATAATGAGGTCTCTATTATAGTCTTTGACAACCGTTTCAATGAGATGGTGCTTAACAGCACAATTTCCTTAGTTTAAGCACAACGGCCTTTAAGTTGTCAAAAGGATTTTAATTAACGAACCTGCTCCCCTCCCTCCCTCCGAATTTATGATTGAATTCCCGCTATATCCGTCCCCGAAAGGCCCCATCGGTGATATGTAAAATTCTCCTGATGCCTCGACCATAATCGCAGTCCGAATTAATTATGCCACCTTCCCCCTGGGCATGTCTGTACTGTATGTACGTAGCTATAATGCACCCTACTTTCTCGCAATAACGAACAATTTCATTTCATTACAGCTTTCCTGCTTTTCGTGTTTCCTTCGCCGCGAACCATTTTCAATATTTGTTTCTATTGTCAATTTTCTTTTAAAGAATTCAGCACTGTATTACCATAATGAGTAACAGACCGCGCACGCGACTGCTGTTTATAATATCAGGCAATCGTTCTGAATGATAATACAACCACACAACATGAGTTAGAGGAAAATAATATCTACATTCAGTAGCCTTTTCACGGGCATGTGGGCTTTGCAAAGGCTTTCATCCTCATATTTATTCAGTGAAAGATCATTTCAGGCTGTTCTACATATAGATAGTGTATAGAAATGCTATAGTTGCCCGAATGCAGAGCGGGAGGAATAATCATATATTTAGTCACCTCAATGCGCTTATATTATAAAGCCCATGTCAGTTTTCGTTAGTAAATAAAGTGATATAATTGTAGTTCAATCATCAGGAATCAGTTATGAAGTTTATTATCACTGTTTTCCCCTTTCCCCAATTCATTTCAGAAAAATTCTACCTGCTCTACCCACAACAATAGCAGCCACATTTTCAAAAGCGATTTTTGTGATATTATTATATCACAAAATTCGGGATGTCGAATAGCAAAATACCGTTCACACAGAAATGTATTTCGAATTATCTACCCTAAATCTACAAAAACTACCCGTTCGCGTAATGTTTTTTTTTTTTGTACAATGTTTTCCCTTTCCAAACCACTCCATCCGGACCTCCTAAAATCAGTCCTGACCTTTTTAATTCAGGCGTGATCGCCTGGGAAGCTAATCAACAAGCAGTGATTAAAAATGCAAGGCGACAGGAAAACCTTGGCTATACTGAAATGTTTCATTATTTCTGGTTGGCGCTAACCGTTCGTATCGTGCGTTGAGAACCCGCTGTAGGCGCCTGTACCTGTCGCAATGCCGTGAATAACAAATGAGCCCGACTCTGGACCGGAATTTCAGCGATTTCTTGAGGGGAAACAACCATCCAAAGGCTAAAAACGTGGCCAAGTCATCTAAAAGGGAGGACACTGTGTATATATTTGTTTATTACATCTATACCCTTACATGGTGAATACTGAATACGTATTTCCTCGCAGCCTATTTGCAAAATAAAAGTGCATGAGCCCATTTTGTGTTTTGTGTTCCTCAATGAAGTTGATGTGCTATGGGTTAGCAGGATAGATGCGTTATATTAGCAAGCATCAAGGTTGCTAAGTGACGTCAACATCGATGCTCTATCTGCCATGGTAACGAGAATGTCAATTCATTGTCAGGTGTCATTACGGCTGATAACTGTTGCCGATTGTACACAAGGTAATCTTATATTAATGCACAGCGCTGATTTTCCTCTAATTTCTCATGAAGGCATGTAATGATGTAGTTATGACAATTTTGGAGGGAAAAAAATCCTCATTCTATGCGGATTCCCACATGATTATGAGGACTCGTGTTGACGTGACGTACTGATGAAAATAATACAGGTCTTTGCTCTATGTAGAGGTAGGCCGAATATATTATTGAAATTTTACTCAGTATGTATAGTGGTGATTTTTGAAATGCAAATTGTAACCCACCCACCAGCTCTTCGAAAGGACCTCTTTAAAGTTAAGGACCTCTTTTATGGTCAAAGCAATTCTGCGGGGGAAACTTGAATTAAATGTTAATTAAATCGCTGATAAAGTTCAATTCCAATTCATGTTTTTTTTTTTTTTAAGATATTACCATTTTAAAGAAGCTTGTGGAATAATTGTCTTTTCATGAATGCATGAATTATTCATTTCACAAATTCGCAAATTTTCGTAGGAGACGGAGCAGCATCCTTGCTCAAAAGATGCATTTTACAAGATTACTTAAATTTTACACGTTTTGAAAGCTAAACTGCTAAAGCACACTGCATGGGGAATTTAAAAGTATATTCATTGTAACACTTCTTAAAGAAATAAAGAAAGTCCTCTTGTGATTTCGTTCAGTACTCGGAATTGCGCCCTTGGCTTTTATTTATTTCTATATATATTTTTTGAAATTCAAATTCATGTATAGGAAGCAATTTTAGAATTCATGGAATCGATTGGCCTAGTAATGCTGCAGCAAACAATTAGAACTTTAATCAGTAAATCATTCAGATGTCGTACGTAGCCGTATTCTGTAATAATTGGTTTAATGACCATCTGGTCAAACAATCGGAATGACGTCATCCCTTAACTTTGCATTCATTACGTTGAACGCGTAATGAAACATCTAATTGGCTAGCGATAAACATGGCACTGGACACTGTGACCCGCTGACATTAAGTCCTCATTTGCATCTTGGTTAAATTAATGAAATCCGTGCTGAAAAGCGTACATTATTTTGCCCGCTGATTTAAAAGCACACCAAGGCTTCTGTGATTTTAATGTGCTTAAAAAAGGCCTTTGTCAAGTGCGAGTATTTCAACTATACTCGTCTTGTATATGTAGCCGACTATCAATTGCTTATAATTTAGATCATGATTCGGTCTATTTATTAACTTAAAAAACAAGATATTTTTTTTTCTCTTTTACTATAGTCCCTGCCTGTCCCATCATCATCAAGAGACGGTGTGACATACAGGGTGACCCAAAAAATCAACCCTAAATCATTTTCCTTTAAAAAAAGGGATCGGTGGATTTTTATGTTTTGGGTATCAGATTAAAGCTGAGGGCTTTTCCTTTCAAATACTGAAGAAAAAAACATGAAAATAGCACTTTGGGCTGCTGAGAACATGTCAATTATGTAAACGTAGTCATTTTTCATCCTGTACATAAATACTTCAAACAGTGAAACATTAATTTTTTTACTGTAAGCCTTCTGTGCAATAACCCTTCTTTTGTGCAATTTCTTGACATAAACTCTTGACAAATACTTGACATATTTATGATGCTAAAACTGAGGTTTAAAATAGGACTAAAAGGATTGGATACCTGTTCATGTGGAAAATATAAGGTGTTTCCATCAAATTCATTTGTACTCTTGTCATGTGCCGTGGTGTTTGTAAGGATTAGGACATGCACAAATAGGTACAGTGAAAATCCCTTACTCTGGTATTTTTTTTGTACAGGATGAAAAATGACTACTTTTACATAATTGGCATTTTCTCAGCAACCCAAAGTGACATTTTCATGATTGTTTCAGTATTTGAAAGAAAATGCTCTCAGCTTTAATTTGATACCAAACACATATCCTGTTTTTAAAAGGCAAACGTTTTAGGGTTGCATTTTCTTTGGGGTCACCCTGTAGTGACGTCAGTGCTATGTATACTTCCAAACATTGTTTCTCATCCGTTTTTGTTACTCCTTGGGGTGCGAACAGCATCGCAATCCAACCCATCATCCTGGCACCAACCTGCCTGGGCAGGTGGTGAATTTTCCCACCTCGATGTAACCTAAGATTGAGGTCTATGTAGAATTTCTCCGGACTTAATTTCTACCAACTCCGTACACACTTTCAATTCAATAAAAGAGTGAGAAAAGAAACATTTAACAAAATGAAGAGCTGCGACATCGACGGCGCCGTTATATTGTAGATTCTCTTTGAATTTTGCTTTAAATAGCGCCGGATAGAGAAAGAGAGCGCTAATTTTGGAAAATTTGAAGGAAAAAAATGGAAATGGGAATGGGAAAGTGCCGTTGCATTTGCTGGAAGGCTCACAAAGTTTTACCTGATGTCTCTGATGAAATTTGGTGTCAGACTAATGTGGCTATTATAGTACGGGGATTATTGTTCCATTAAGCCCGCACTCCCAAAGCCTTTGGGTTTACGAGACATTATAGGAGAATTCTTCAATTTAGCATCCCCATGGGCAGTACTAAGAGGAAGAAGCCAGAATGATAAATCGTTGTGAGCAGACTAGGCCGAAATTGAGTGTTATTTAGCTTTTCGTTGACGGCCTATCGAACCACGACCTCTGTCTACCATCCAGCCGCAACAGCGATCGAGATAGTCAGTTTTTCTGAGACGGGCGACGCTTTACTGACGTCATTCCGTGACGTCAGAAACGCGGATTTCTGTCTTGTCTGGTCACGTGGTATATAGCACAGGCTTTCGCCCGTCAACATCGCCAAAGGGCAAGGCTCAGTTCTGCACGAGACATGAGATGGCGATGTCGCCACCATGCAGTATTCTGCTCCAGAGGCGGTTTTACAGGTTGACATATTTTTACGGGTTGACATGTTTTCATATGCATTGATTAGCAGAATCAGAGCAACAATAATGTGGGCGTGAATGGACACAATAAGCAATCAGGACATGATAGTACACAGGAGCAGTAATTGGAATCGCAAACGGCCGATGGCTGCAGGCATTTTGTAGTCAAGTTACGCCGAAAGGTTCATTGTAAAAAATTATTGAACGGAATCAACAGTCTCGTTAGTGTGAGTGCAATGGCTTTAGTTACGATTGGGGAGTAACTTATATTCCAATTTTGTTGAAATTAAAAACAACAATAATCAAGTGATTACGAAATGAATTATTTTGTATTGCAGCTAGAGAGCACCATATTTTTTTAAATTGCGGTACCGTGAAACTTTTTTT